GAAAAAAGGCGCAAAAATAAAACTCACAACGGACAAGGCCTTTGCTTCGAAATGCAGTGCTGATGTATTATACGTTGATTATGAGAACATGCCCAATATTCTGAAGCCTGGGGCTCATATATTCATCGACGACGGACTCATTTCAGTGGCTGTTAATAGCATCCGTATGACTGTTTATTCTGAAAATAAAAATTTCAGTAATGATTAGCCGGAAAAGTATACAGGTTGAGAAGTTTGGTCATAATTTGATCGGGATCCTTAATTTGCTCCCGAACTCAACTTGCTATCAATTATATTATTATTGCGTGGCGCAATCAAATCTTTGATCCATTTTTAATAGTATAAACACGATAAAAACTGCTTATAGAGCCAAGTAATTCCATCATTTTAGAAGGCAAAGACATAATGTGCACGATCGAATATGGCGGTAAATTAGGCAGCAAAAAAGGGATCAATCTTCCTGGTACTAAATGTGATTTACCTGCCGTTTCTGATAAAGACACTCAAGATTTGAAATTCGGTGTTGAACAGGTACCAATTTCTGGACTTATCTCAGCAATCTTTTCCAAGTTTTTTAAGTTAAAATTAACTTAAAAATACTTTTATTTTTTGCAGGGTGTTGATATGATATTTGCGTCATTTATTCGAAACGCTGAAGGTGTGCGTGCAATTCGGCGTATTCTCGGCGAGAAAGGAAGATTTATTAAAATTATAGCGAAAATTGAGAGCCAAGAAGGCGTTGAAAAGTAAGCTAATTTTGCTAAATTTTCTAAGCGACTGATAAGCAAATTTCAAGTTGTGAAAATAAATTGCTTTGCAATTCTGAGCAAACTGCCCGTTAAAAGTTCAATGTGAATTGCAATGGGATGCTATTTTGTTGAGAAATGGAAAAAACATCGGAAGGGCTTTTTAGCGCAGATGAGATAATCAGAGAAGCTGACGGGTTGATGATAGCGCGCGGTGATTTGGGTATTGAAATTCCCACTGAGAAAGTATTTGCGGCGCAGAAAATGCTAATCGCACGATGTAACGTAGTCGGGAAACCCGTTGTTTGTGCTACGCAAATGCTCGAATCAATGACTAAGAAGCCAAGACCTACTCGAGCCGAGGGTAAGTTAGTACGTAATACAATGGACCATTTTCAAATATGAAAAGCTGTTCTCACATGTTTAATGTTAATTTTAGTTCCACAATCATATAACTGCAATTTTCGTTTCCCGAAACTGTACTGATCATAATCGCAAAAGTAGTAATAACTTGTTGCATTATTAACTACACATTAAGAGTGTTTTACTGATTTTACATTTCGCATGTCCAATTTAATATCGATCATGATTGGAACTTAGGCAGTGATGTCGCAAATGCGGTATTGGATGGCAGCGACTGTGTTACGTTAAGCGGCGAAACAGCGAAAGGAGATTACCCCGTATTAACATTAATGACTATGAGTAAGGTAAGCGAGGAGAGGATCAAAAGATATCTACAAGTGCATTTGATGGTGATATCAAGTTTACAATGCATTCGGTGGTGGTTTTTGTGTATTTGTTGGGAATTATTAGGTCACCAAAGTTAATTAGCGCTAACATCGCATATTTTAGCTATGTCTGGAGGCGGAATTGACCGTAAACTATCAAGAAGTATTCCGTGAAGCTCTTCTTTGCATGAAGAAATCACCAGATGTCACACACACGGTTGCAATCGCAGCCGTTTCGGCAGCAATTGCGTGCAATGCAAGCGCTATCATAGTGCTAACTACTACCGGACAGTAAGTGTTTTGAAAAGTTCGAATTTTTTTAATTTTCAAAAAGGCATCGATAAAAAAGATAGAAGCACGTGACTACAAGTAAATAAACATGAATGTTTAGAAATAAGCATTTTTATTGTAATTTTATTTACAATAATTGAGAGCATTTAAATAATGAATTTAGCTCCGCTGGTTTGGTAAGCCGTTATCGTCCAATGGCGCCGATTATTGCAATAACACGAGAAGAGCAAGCTGCACGACAAATGCACCTACTTCGTGGTGTCCATCCAGTGTTTTATACCCGTTTGTTGACATATTTCGTTAATGAGTTTAGGCGGTCAAGTAACTAATTTCATTAGGTAAACAAAGAAGTTTCTTTAATTTATCTTATCGATAGATCTCTCTTAGCTAATCATCCGATCCTGAACAGTATTGAGCTACAAATAACTTTTGATATTTCATAACTCATCAGATAACTTTCCGAAACTGTTATCTTTAATAAACAAAACTATGAATCATTATTGTAGTGCCGAAAAATGAGGAGTGGAAGGCTGATATTGATCTGCGAGTGGCTCATGGCATGAAAGAAGGACAGGCTCTTGGTTTTATTAAATCGAATGATTTGATTATTATTATCACAGGATGGTCCAAAGGTATTATCACAGTTATTTTTGCTTGAGAGGAAAAGAAGAATAACCTTGACAAAAATGACAGATTGATAATAAAAAAGAAGTCATAGCTATCAGAATAATCCATACAGACACACCTGAAAAATATATTAATGATTTCCTAATATTTTCCGAAATGGAAAATTTTTACCATTAAAAGAAACAATTTTTGAAAGAATAAATAATCAGTATATTGGTAATTTTTATGTTTTTAATAAAAAATTATAGGTTCGGGACATACGAACACAATGCGCATTATCAGAGTACCATGAACTGACATCAGACTGACCTCCAGCACTTCTCATTAGAAACACATAACCCCAATAAAATGCCTCGTCAGATATGAAATAAATTTTAGGAACATATTGAAAGCAATCAAATTAAATTGACAAAATGATAATAAAACACATGAAATAGCAACTGATAACTTCATTACGCGTAATTTCACTGATTAATGCTAAATTGTCCAACAAATTATTTTTGTCTTCAAATTATTGATGAACAAATGAAATACTCGTCACTCATTTCATGTTTTATAACATATAAAGCGCAACAAATTATGACAGAAAATCGTTTACATCTACCGCTTTCAGTTATTGAGAAATTCTATTAACAGTTAGGAATCTGCACTAAATGAAATTTTAATAAATTACTTTCTAAATTATTAATGACTTCATCACAGTCAGATACTTCGTGCAGTTGAGCTACCGATTTGATGGTTTTCCTCATTTTTTTTCCTCAGTTGATAATTGTCGAAATGAAGCTGTAATAGGAAGTTAGAATGTGTGAAATGCCGTATCATATCACCAAGAGATCAGTTCTGCTCGTTAAAAAGATACTTCCGATCAAGCGTAAACAAATCCTTCTACGCTCGTAATGCTGGAAAAAAGAGTTCACTAATTTTGCTATTCAAATTTCTTTCAATCTTTTGCATAAAACATTATTGACCATTTAAAGCATATAAATTTTATAGACTTCATCATGTCTTAAATTTCAAACTAATTTTTAAATTCTTTGCTAGAAATGCGAATTTATTGAAGATATTTTATTTAGATTTTATTTAAGCATCAGAGAGGAATATAAATGATATTTTGAAGAAATTAGGAAGTCAAAGCGAACTTTCATCACTACTAATTAGGAATGTTTAAAGTTTATTTCTTCATCTGAATGAAAAACGTTTTCTTCAGAATAATTTTAAATGGATACTCAAAAAAAAATTAAGCTAAACATTATAAATTAAAAATGAAATCTTGGAGATGTTTAAATGTGATTTCACTACCGGAATTTTGGAGCAAATAAAATTAATTAATCATTAGTTATTCGTAATACATAAATTGATAACCAACGAATTATTGGCATGGAAATAACATAAAGAACTATTAATGCAAATTTAGTACATATCAAGCGCCTATTTTAACTGGTTAATCACTTAATTCAAATATAAACTAACGCGAACAATTCACAGTTGATGAAAAAAGTGAACTTAAATTTTTCTCAGAATCGGTAATTTGCCGTAATGAATAAATGTGATTGGGTGAAGGAATAGAAATAAGTATTCAGGAATGAACGATGAAAATGATAATTAGTACTGCAATACACATATCGATATTCCTTTTTTTGTATATGTATTCCGGAAGAAAAGCTTTCTCCTTTTTTTCTTTCATTCATTTTCCATTTAATCCATCCAAATCACTTCACTAATCTTTCCTCATAACATCATGAATATCTTGCAACTAAAACCACAATTTTTAACTTTTTAGAAATATTCCTACTCAATCATAAATGAATATTAACCATTTGAATAAAAACAAAAATGTTCTATCTATTATTTTTTGTATAAAGTGTTAAAAAATTTTTCTAACAAATTTTTGATGTTTTATGAACATATGGTCTAAAATCACATGAAATGGGAAAAATTTTAAGTGAGGGCTTTCTCATATGAAATTTGAATGGGAAAAAAGATGAACGACTGAAATATAAGTTAAATTTATCAAGTGAGTAGTAGTATTGAGATTCTTTTTTGATTTATTGCTGAACCAAACTGTTCTTCTGTTGATTTCAAATTATTTCTTTGTTTAACATTTTTAGCAAAAATATCTACTACCCTATTCCTTAGTGATAGTTAAGTGGTCACTTAATAATAGAAAAATGAGTTGGGGTTAGATGAAGAGCTACATCAGAAGTTAAAGCACTTGGCCCTATGATGGAAGCTGTAGCGAGGACTTCTTTTACCCATACTTATTAGTAGAACAAGAAATCTGTCAATTTCTTCAGCGATATTGAGAAAAACAGAGAACATGTAGATAACTTTTCCAGAAATTTGTGAATTGGATTTGTGAATTATTCTTTTTCAAATGGTTTATACTGGTAGATTTAGACTTATCTACTTCAGAATTTCTGATTTGCTGGTTTTTTTGTTGAGTTTTTTTTTGGTAAGTTATTAAATGAATGAATGAATCATTTAATGGTGACTTTATGTTTATTAAATATTTTTTGACGCCTACCGTGGCTGTTCATCAATATCCGACAATTAAGCAGTGAGGAACAGTTGTCGTGTGACGTTATATGTTTAAGATATTTCTTTAATATCTTAGTCTCTTTCTATAAGAGAGAGAAGGAGGAAGGAAGAGAAGGGAAAAGAGGAAGTGTAAAGATATTAAGGAGAGGAATGGATAGTGTAGATTGGAGGCGATCAAATTCAGCTTCTTTTTCACTGTTTGTTGCTTTCTACAACTTCGCTTTAATATCTGCAAAATTTAGGCGGAATAGCGTAAGAATGATGAAAGCCACTATTGCTTCTTTACATGGTTGACAACAGGAAATTATTTTGGTTTCAAAAATCACAAAATTTTTGAAAACTTCGTAAATGTTCCGCAGATCCCAGATTCCTTTCCATTTAATTAAATCATTCGTATGTTTCTTGAGGTCCTCTTTTTTTGAATTCATTTGAAAAGGCTAAAATGTCTTTTTTGTTAGAGATAAAGTTAGCAACATGCAATCACAAAGTTATCTTTCACAACAAAAAAGGTTACTAAAAAATTTAATTTTACCTTTGCGATTTGATTTAACATTTAAAATGTGTCTCGCTATCAAACATGTTTTAATTAGAAAGAAGTGCAAATGACTGATAAATAGAAATTGCATGCTTCATAAAAGGATGATAGAATAAAGTAATAGGCAACAGTGTCTAATTATGTTTAATTATAAAGTAAAGCAATTCAACGATTTTTAATTCATTCTTTTCATTCCTTCAATTTTCTTTTTCACAATATTTTGTAGAGAGTGGGTGAGAGAGAGAATGAAAGACAAAACTGCTAAGTCTTGTTTATTGAAAATGAATGCTTTAGAGGAATGTAACTCTTTTTACAACAGATTTTCTTTAAAATTCATCCTTCACAAATCCACACTTTTCCTGTCTCCTTAGGCATAAATCTATTTTATCACATGCCTCAAACTAATTATTCAATCCTTTAACTAATTATTCTCTCAAAAATTCATCTATCATCCAATATTCTTTTCCTTTTAACTTTTGTTTTTATTCTATTCTGGAATGAAAAAATCATTTGTAAACTAATAGTGAAGGCAATTTTTGATATTAGTTTTAAAGAGGATATTATCGTTTGTGTTTTTAGAGAATTGGATCGTAGTTAAAGTTCATAAATCATTTCCAGTCATAGCCAATGTTGATTTAGCCATCATTTGCTTTCGGATTAGATTGATTTTGAATTTAAATGAACGCACCAATAAAATTTTATCATATATAAACTCTTGGACTGGAATAGAACATGCTTTCAAAATTCACTGAATTTTTGATTGATGATAGGATTAAATGATCAAAATGTCATTTGTTCTAAAGACTGACATGACAATAAAGCTGACATTACTGTTCGTAGTTAAGATGGAATATTCAAAAAAAAAAATTTCATTTTTTTCTTTTTGTTGATTTTTGTTTCTTTTTTACTTCACAACCACTTGATGGTAGGAAATTAGATTTTTAAACGGAAATTGTAAGTATCAGAATAAAGCACAGGTAGGTTTATCCGAACCTGTCCCAACGTATCGTCTTTAATAGTTATCTTTCGAAATGAATAATTTTTTTTACAAACCTTTTCTTATCTATCACAATTTAGTTCAAACAGTTTCCGCAAAGTTATAAATTCTTGGTGGAGCATTTTGTAAAAGTTTATTCCATCTGTTTATAATTACTGTGGTATTTGCACGTTATTTTAAGGATGAGAAAGAACGAAATTCAAAGAATGAAACTTCACTTTAGACAGCGTTTTTCTTTTTTCTTTAGTTTAAAATCCAATATTTTGTACTATATTTTTGACAGATAACTTTACAGATAACCATGAATATTCCGTTAGAAATGAAGTTATTTGTTTTTTTTGTGCAGCTGTGCTTTTTTAATTACTTAGTGTTAAGAATAATTAAACAAAACTGTCGGCATATTTTAGCATTAAAATATAAGCAAATATAAATAAATCCACTAACTTTACTTCATGTACGAATTAGAAATGAAAATTTCTGATTTGATGAGTGAAAAAAAAAATTGACAATGAATCATAAGCATTTTGCTTTCTCTTTCACACTTATTCAATAGTTCTTTTCAAAACTTTTGCTTGTTGTTTGGTTGTTTTTTCAAATGATTGTTTCGATTTAATTTTGCATCATTAAATGATTACTCAAAATGCAACCGCCTTTTATCGCTTGCTGTCTCATTTTCTGGTGTGTAATTTCTTTCATAGTGATCAGTTTCAGAATTTCGAATATTCTAATAACAAATTCATTAACATTTAATTAAAGGCATTTTGATGAAAGTGGAAAGATAAATACAAATAAGAAAATGATGTAACAGTTTAATTCGTGTCACATAAATATTTCTGATTTTCATGTGATTATTCTCTTTTCATTCATTCTTCTTTAAAAATGAAAAAAGTTCTGCACGCCGTGTACTATAAAATTGATTCATTGGAGATGTGCAAATATAATTAACGAATTTCTCTCATGTTTTGGAAGATAACGAAAACACTTTTTTTTGCAGAAAATGCATTAGAAACCAAAAATACAGCGCTAATATCAGTTTTAGTTAAGACAAAGCTTGCAAAAAATATTGTAATCTGAATACTGTATGAATATTTTCCATATCAGGAGAGGATAATTTAATCAACCAAGATTATGTATTATTATTATTATGTTCATTTTTCTCTTATAAATTCCATTCCTTTCTCTCACTCTGCTGCATGTGCCTCTCACTATCAGCGGTTAACCC